CAAATGGCAAACACAACCTGTCCTAAGGGACCTTCCAGCTTTGTTGAACAGCATTTGGAAGCCAGGGAGGGCATACTAGGGCCCCACAAGTGGCAACAGATACCAACGTTTAGACACCTGACTCACAACCCTCACAGTAGCTGCTCAACTCGGTTGGTAGGGCTGTGCCAGGAGCCACAAGTGACCCCAGCACAAGCCATGCCCTCACTGACAGGTGCCATCCTGCAGGATCTGGGCCAGGTGGGCAGAGCTGGGGCCTGGTAAGAGTCTTCACTGACATCCCCCGACCTGGCGAGGGTTTGAACCAGGTCCAGGGTCTGTCTGGGAGATCCTGATAGGAGCAGCAGGAGATGCAGCTGAAGCATGGGTCCCCTTAGCATGCGGACCTGCACGCCTATGACATGTCTCAGGGAGGGATGGTGGGCCCAGGGCTGAGCTAAAATGGGACTCCTAGGCCCATGTGCAGGGTTAGGGGTCCCAGATGGGGCTGATCAGAGCCATTAAGGCCCTGAGGCAACATTAATGGGGACATTAATGCCCCCAGGTGACTGATGGGTTTCTGTCTTGGCTCTCCAGACCACACTGCCCAGTTCAGCACAAGTGTCTGGAAAGACCCAACTCAAACACAGAAACACACATTCAGGTATTGCAATCTGGAACTGGATGACCCTCCAGGGGCAGGGTTCAGCTTCCAAAACATGTGTCTGTTGCCACTGGAAATGCTGTGTGCTGCTCAAGAGGACCAGGCAGCCAGCAGGTATGACACAGGACTGCAGGCAGAGCCATGTGCCTCTGTTTGGAGAAACCACTGGGGGCCAGGTGAGACATCTCTGGGCTTATCTGGTGCCTATGTGTAGGTGGTGAATCTCATCTTTGGTGTCTTAGGTCATTAATGAATTGTAAGAAATCAGTGGCATGTCTGATGCAAAAAGAGCACTTCAATGATTGTTAATTGTCCCACAGAACAACTTTAAAGCAATGTCATGCCACAGCTATAAGGCAGCTAAGCATGTTTACATGAAATGAAGACCTAACCAGGCTAAAACTTTTCAGGACCCCTAACAATTACACCCAAAAAGCAGCTCTTACTGTGAAGCACACATTAAATAAAGCCGTCCACAGAAGCAGGTTCTGCTCACTCAACAACAGCAAAAAAAAAAGGCTCTTCATTTTCACCTAATTCTATAAACTAGCAACAACAGCACTTGACATTTTACTTTACTCTGACAACATGTCATGGACAGCTGCTTTTGTAGTAGCAACTGGTATATCTGTGTGTGCATATAAAATGCATAGTGGTTTTAAACATTAAAACATTTTAATTGTAGTCCGTAAAGTAAAAGAAGTCTCATAACTACATATGGAAAAATAATGAGATGTAAATATGCATAGACATGAAATAGAATATTGATCTCTTACAAAAATGAAGCCAGAACTGTGAGTCATTAAAATTTACTTGGGGATAAGGGACTTCCTGTCAAAAAAAGAAAGTGTAAGATACAGTTGCTTGAACAAGAGAACAGAGATGAAATTTCAGGTAAAACCCCAATGGACTTGACAATATTTTCACAGTGGAGAGAAATATGCAGGAATTGTCTCTTTTTTCCCCCCTCTCTGAACTTCAGGGTCAATTAAGAGGCTGAGCACGTCCACAATTAGCTGTGCAGAGAGAAATGTCTAAGCCTCAAGAAATTTCTTGCAATGCACTGAATATCTGTGTCATATATGAGTTTATATAAGTTTTGTTTGCTCCACAAGTTTTGATTTAGAGTGGCAATTTCCAGTTTACAACTTAAGTGGAAGGTGAATAACAGCTGTATTCACTGTTAAAAATCAAAATGTTTTTCCTGTTGGTTTCAGCTGCAGCAGCTTACTGCTTCTGCTAGGAGAAGTCCTGAGGCTCTGCAAAGCCACTGTGCTCTGTTCTCTCCAGACATGGGATGACTCAGTTTCTCCATGGTGATTCATCTGGGTAATTCAACTCTGGGTTGTCAAGTCCAGAAGGGGCTTTTATCCAGCTGTATTCAGAAAGAGATGGGAATGGATCACTGGGGAGCCTAAATGAGCTTTTCCTACAGATAGGTCTGCTGGACATATCCTTACACAGATCCTTTTGCTGAGTTTGGTACATACCCACCATCCAATCTGCTATTCAGGCAAGGAATAGCATGTTAAGATTTCAGTTTTTCAATCATTATTTCCATTTATTATTAGAACTGGGAGTCCTCATTTATTATCTTTGGAGAGTATTAATAAAAAGATCATTCTATCCATAAGACCAGTTGACCTCCCAAGTGTTGCAGGCTCAATAAGGTAGGGAAACAAGAAAAATAGACCATCTTCACAGCTTTCAACTTACCAGGATTCCCAGAGCCCACATGGCACCAGCTGCTACAAACAATTTACAAAGAGACAGAGAACTGAAGTGACAGCCTTCCTCAAAACCAAACGTTGGTAGATGAGATGGCCAGGAAACAGCCAAATCACTGCTAAACGATAAACGAGACTGCAAAAAACAAAGTAAAGTTTGGACCTTCTCTCAAACTGCCTCTGCCATAGAAAGGCCCGATCAGGTCAGCAACCGCCACAGAGACAAATAATCCTGGAGGGAACTGCAAAAGATGGGACAGCCTCTAAGAGGGACGGTTCTGTTTGCAAGCCACCTGAATGGCCCACATCAACAGTTCAGTGGACGTCAGCACAAGGATCAATCACCCAGACTACCTTTTTATTCTTTAATACCTAGAGTTTAATTTTTCTTTTTCTAAAGGCTCTAGAGTTGCAGAGATAGTCTTGAAAGCAGGACTGAATGTAAACCAAGAAGAGATGGCTGCCTGACTTCGCAGAAGACAGCAGTTCTGCAAGGTATTAATCAGTAAGAGTGATAATTCAGACGCACGCTGTTATGCTTTGTATCTTTGCATTGCTAGTAAGTTGTAGATCAAAGCATGGACAAAACTAAGAAAATTTAAGCAATTTATATGCTTCTTATTGGTGAACATGGCAGAAAGTGCTTTTGCAGCATTTTTTCCCCCTTGTACTTGAAGAACTGAGCGCAACACAACTCTTTGAGAGTGAGCCCAGCAGAGCACAGTAAGCCCATGTGATTAGTTTAATAAATATGCAGTCTATCTCATTTGGTGTGCCAGTGGACCTAGCCTAATCTGCATGTGCCCCTCAAGAGAGTTGTAGTAGTTCCCTCTGCACTCACTCCTCCCTACTCAATTCCTCCCCTGGCCCCAAGTCACATTTGCATCCGGATTTAGCATCATGCAGTTCCTGCGGAGTCCTTCAACTGCTCATTACTGACTCTTTGTACATCAAAGGAGGAGGAAATAAAAAGGAAGAAATGCTAAGATTCTCCTTAGCCCTTAGCAAGACTTTCAGCTGAAAATCACCATGACAGAAAATTCTTGGTAAAGGACAGATAAAACAAACACTTGAGACATAATTTTGCTTAAGAATAATTTTTTTTCTCTTTAATTTCTCTTAATTTCACTCAGAGTTTTTAGCTAAAAAAAAATATCCCACAAAACTCTTTCTTTATGGGGATGCTCCAGCTGCTCCTTCTGCACCCAGTAAGAACCCTATAGATGCACGTTATTTCTAGTAACACAGTTACTAGCTGTGCAAACAGCTTGGATATTGACAGCAAGGATAAGTGGCACCATAAGGACAATCAAGAAGAAAGAAATGCTTCACTGATATCCCAGCATACTTGGAAAAGAGGAAGGGGAAGAAAAGGGAAAATATAACATCTCTGCAGAGTTTCAAAGCTTCTGAGTGCTTCTTCAGGCCTATTAAATCCTACCATCTTCCTGACCTCAAGAAATTTGAGGGAGGAACCACCCTCCTCAGAGAAACAGGTTCTTTCACTTCCCATCATTGTCATCTTTGGGGAAGAACAAAGATCTACACAACAGGCCAGTGGCTCCTGAAACCTCCCTCCCTTCTACACTGAGAGGAGAAAATAAAGTCTAAGTGACCATAAGATGCAAAAGAGTTAATAAGCATCCCAGCAGTCAGGATGCAGGGCTTGTGTTTACATGGAAAGGACAGAAGTGCATGTGGTAGATAGGACTGATTCAGGGCAGAAATTGCAAACACTGACACGAGCCAATTTTTACATCGTGTAAAACACGCGGGAGTAGTTTTCTCACCCTCCAATGCCTTTCTATATGAGCTCTAAATGATAGCTCACAAAGACGACAGATACCTCAGTTCATACTTACATAACACGACTATTTTCTTGGTGGCATTAATGCAGCTCATGGTAGGCATTAATCTGTATTAGAAAGCTACTATATAATTAATCGTAATTAATCACCTCGGAGCCAAAAAGTCTGTCCAACAAAGAAAGGAGTAATTGAGGTTAGGATTGAGGATTGCATTGGGAGTAGATTATAAACTCTTCAGGGCACCTTCGTTTTCACATCTTGTGTTTACAACACTAAGAGCAATTGAGTGTTGCTCCCCTGTAGTGCTTCATCAGCACTGCCACCACAGCCCCCGTCATCCCTGCACCGACAGGGAGCATAACAACACACAGCAGTCTGAAACTATTCATCTACTCACTTTGTATAAAACCGGTATTATTATATACCGCTGATGGAAACAATCCACAAAATGGAACCAAAGAAATACATCTCTTCTTTGTTAGAAGGCAACTACAAAGCTGTGTTTAGTCAGGGCTGGGCTGGGTTCTGCTCTCAATTACACTGTTGAAAATGTGCCGTCTCTCCGCTGATCGAAGCGGTTCGAACATGATGGTCTTATATACGATTACAATATGTCCTTTTATTATGATCGCATTTCTTAGCCCTCTGCATGCACAAATTCAACTGTTCTTTCCATTTGAAAATAGCAGAACAAAATCTTATACCCCCCCAAAAAAAATATCTTTTTACCTGTCACCCTGCAACATCTTCTTCAAAATCGGCATGTTCAAATACACTGCATTCTTCTTAAGACACAAATAAGAAATTGAAAAAGTAACTGACCTCTTGCCGCTTGAAATTTTGAACGTATTCTTCAAACTGTTCATCTTTTGTTTCATCTGCTTTTCCTAGTTTTTGAAGTACCTATATTGAAAATAAAGAGAAAAAGGAATAACTTAATATTTATGTCACAAAACAAAAATGCTGCTACTTTCAACACTTCTGTTCTTGCAGTTAGCCTTAAATAGCATTTTATTTTCGTGTGTGTTGCGTGCACTACTGTTTCCAAAGTTCATACAGGAAGCTATTTTGTCGAAATAAAAAAGGATAAAAGCAGGAGTATGGTGTGTGTATGTGTGTGTGGAAATACACTTCAAAGTATGGAGTCCTTGGGGGTGTATGTGGTTTTTTGTTTTTAATGAAGCAACTTTTCTTTTAGCAAAGAATCCCAGGGTTTCAAAGCAAGGAATAATGAGAGAAATTTGCTGGCACTGCAAGTTGTCCTCCCGTTCAGACAGAGAAAGAAAAAAAAAAAAAAGTCAAACTTCATTAGGTTTTTCATCTGTTTATGGCTCATTACATCGAACGGTATTAACATTATCCTTGTCTGCATGATTTTCAACATCAAGTCATATAGTGAGAATAAAGAACTGTAAGGCCGCATAAGAAATTGTTACAGCTGATGCTTATTTAAAACTTCTATTGGTGTTCATATTTGCTCCCCTCATTAATTCAGCAGTGGATTGACATCCACTAGATAATAAACGTACTGCAATATGTCAGCAATAAGGGCTATTCATGTGATAGCAATCTCAAAAGTAATTTGACACAGCTACACTTCACACTGTATTTAACTACAATAAGTGCATTCTATTACTAAATCCTGGCACTATCCATTCGTTGTAATACTGAAGACTTATACGTAGCTACAAATAGGCTTCACCCTTCTTGTCAAGCAACCCCCAAATCTTTATAGAGTACTATATACGGGATGAACCATCTCACACAGTGATGTTAGGATTGCTCTCCCATGACAGGGTCCAAACTTTATATTTTCACAGGAGAAAAACAAAAACAAGTGAAAAAAACCCACAAAACTGAAACAATAGCAATTACCTGATACTATGAATAAATATGCAAACATCCCCTCCTATTCTTCTTAAAACAGTCCTGGCATGTTCTCTCTCTGACCGCCTGCCTTTCCCAACCCCAGCCAGCCCCACACCATAAAACCGGGCTGCACAAAGGTGGGGTGAGCATTGCCACAGTGGAAACCAGGGATCAAGATGATCATGAAGGTGACGCAACACTACCTGTGGACCTGGCATGTGGAACTTCAAGGAAGTTTTGATGTATTTACAGCAGAAAGAATGACATCAGAGAGGAAAAAAAAAGACAAAGACTAGCCCTTTGCTGCCTGTAGTTGTGTTAGCTTTTCATTCCCCTGGCTCATTTGGGCATTTTGGGTTGCTTTTAAGCCTGCTGACTACTCCCAAAGACTTCATACGCTCTCATCACCAATCTCTTCATAAAATATTAAAAAGTATCACAGATGGTTTTACAGAGGAATCATTTAATTTAACATTTCGACTCATCACAGGCCTTCACATTGCTCCTTGTCACCAATGAGCCAAACAGTCTGCCCCCGACTGCAGCACAACTTTGATCCACACCAGGCGGCTCTCTGAAAATCCAACATTTACTTTTCAAAGAGGTGGCTGCCAGGTAAGCCTCCTGACCACAGCAATACATTCAAGCCATGTTCACAGGAACAAGTAGCAGGCAGTAACTCCAATAGTTGATTGGACCCTGAGCAATTCATAACATAGGTAAGAAGCCACAGCAAGAAAGGTTGTCATGATAAACACTTTTCTCTTTCCCAGAATATTAATGGCACATATCCATGTCTCCAGATGTGCACTCAAGTCCAAGAGCGCAAGGCTCAGAGGGGAACAACCTACCTCTCACAGCACTTACCTCCCGTGGTTTGGGTTTTTTATTCTATCAACAACTTTCAATTTCTCTACAGGTATTTAGCTGAACTGAGACTAAAATGCAGTGTTAGAACTTGGCCTCTGCAAACACCAACCCTAATCTTAAACCATTAATAACATACCTTCCCAATTTTCCTAATCCTAACCCAAACCAGAACGTAAATATTCACTATAGATATGCCATGTGTTTGGAACTATAAGTTCCAAGCCAGAGGCTTGGCATCAGCTAATGAAACTCGCCCTCATGGAAGTCCTGCAGCCCATGCAACACACACAGATAACTGGGGTTCAGTCACTCTTTTCCTAAATGCAATCCTAATCTTAACCTTACAATCCTATATAGAGGCAGTTGAGCAGACTGGGGCTAGAATAAAAACTGGTCCTCAGAGGTCCCTTTCAATCCCATCCATAGAGCCCCATGGACCACTCAAAGTGTAGCTCAGCCTTTTACAACCAACCATTTCCTAATTGTAAGCATAACTTTACCACTGGTAGTCTAAATAGAGAGGTGACTAGACTGAGGGTAAATCTTAGAAACTGATCTACCTTTCAGCACTTATTTGTGCACTTCTGTCTCAAAGTGGAAGTCTCTTGTCAACAGAAGTCTGTAGTTTGTAGTTTATTTTTGCTCAGTTTGGTTCCTACCTATAAGGTGACTTTAGGATAGGCTGAAGGGCAGATGAAGCCTTGTCTATGCTACACACAGGTTCCTCTAACTCCAACCCCTCTTATGGACACGCTGAAATAAATTTTAGACACATTGTTAGTCTTGTTATATGGAATACCTGGGTCAAGATTAGAGTCAGGGTCTGGTTCAGGGCTAGGGTTAGGAAAAGGAAAGTAGACAGCCTACTAGCATTAGGTTTAAATATTGGTCAAGGGAAAGTAGACTTAAAATGCTCAGGTTACTGGAAAGCATCTGATGGCCCTGTAAGATAAAATGAAGGCTATGCTCAGGAGCAGCAAGTGCCTGATCTCCCCCTTAAGCCTCAGTTCAACCACCCTTCTAGATAAGGATTAGATTTAGTAACAGGAATAGCTCAGTTTATTGGTGGCCCCTGAGGACAGGAGAAGGGTAAATGGACAGTCTTTTACAACAGCCTTGGAGTGCTCTACAACACGGCAAAGAAAGGAGATCTGGACGGATAAGTGGCTAATATTTTATTTTAGGTCCGTGTAGTAGGTAACCCATATTGTGGATTTGGATTCAGGCATTAGAAAAAGAAAGAGCAGAGGAACCAAAGCTGTTGCTGAACATTCAATGGCCCATGGGGCTAGAACGAGGCCTGGACTCAGATAAGGCAGGTGGCTGGCATGGATTTCATTCTTTCTTCTTAGCATGCTCACACAGAGAAATAATATTTGGGGTTAGGGTTAGGAACATCTATCAATGTGTATGAACAGCCTGTATAATATATATACATATTTATGTATTTAAATAGATATTTAAAAATAAAATAATTTTTAAAAAATTAAAGAAACAGACATGAAATGAATCTCAAGAAACAGTCTACAGTCAAGTACACTGTAGCCCTTTGAAGACTGTATAAAATAGTTGGTGAACATGATCACCCTATCCAAAAAAGAAATAGGCAAAAAGCTATCCCATTTCATACGATTAGACTAAATCAACTACCAGTAATTCTTCTCTTAAAATGCCATAAAAAGACAAAAAAAAAAAAAAAAAAGAAGAGAAGAATTTGAAACAGCTGCTTTATTTTTTTCTTGATTTAACTGTGGTATCCAAACATGATAGCATACCATATTTGCTTAATGCACTGAATTACGTTAAGGATCTAAAATGAATATCAGTGTTGACCCAGCATGTCACTAAGAATACATGAGCTAAATAATTAAGTCCAATTAGCATTGAGAATGCAGTAAAAGCTAAATTTGATCTGATGGTAAACCTAGATGCTGTTGAGTGAATACTTGTATAGATGAATTGTCTGGCAATGTGGTACTGAGAAAAATAAATGACAGATTCTACACACATAAAATTTGAGTAAGGACATCAAGCATGTCTGATATCATTCATAAATGTCATCAAGAGTACATGTCTAGACACAAAATGCAAGAATATTTCCATTTGGGGATGTTGTATCTTCAGTAACCCTTTTGGAAGACATAAGACTAAACAGTTCCCCTTTAAAGTCATCTAAGTACCTTCACTTACCAAATAATACATGTAAGTTCTATGAGCATCTAAAGTGTTAGGAGGGAAAAAGTCAATAATTTGCTGATCTTGAATTAAAATGATCAGTCGTACAATGACTGTGAAGTGAATGTTGTTAAATGTCTGCAACATGCCAAAGAAAGGAAAGGGATATAATAGAAAAAATTACAGATGAGCTTGAGTAAGTTTGATTATATTGAAAACTCAGGTCTTGTGGCAAGGATGACAGTGTTATAATAGCTGCTGAGACTACCACCCTGACAGGCCTACCCATCCTCCCCTAAAAAAGTTTCCAAGACTATGACAATTCAAGAAAGAAAGAAAAAAAGGAAAAAAAAAAAAAGAAACTAAAGAAATTGATTCTCTGATGTAAACTGTGGCCACCCAGCAGCTGCCTCAAGAGCAGCTCAGCTCCCCGCACAGCACCAGCAGGGTGGACAGGAGTTGACAGTAACCTCATCAGACATCCCAACACGCGTCATCCTCAGTTATGCATCAGTATTCTTAAAGAACAACCAACACATTCAAAGTCACTCAGGGCAGGAAGACATGACTGATCAGACAGGACTACCCAGGACAAGACTTTATCAGAAATTCCCAGGACTGTTAAAACACTGGAAAACCTAAGCTTGCCACAAGTAGCACTATTTAAGGATATTACAGAATAACCCCAGTACGAAAAGCAAGACAAACACTTGTAAGAGTCCAAAACAGTTGTCATGGACTCAATGCCCAAAATCTTTTGAGAATAGCAAAGTGTTCCGGATCTCAACAGATGCAAACTCATGCACCTACAACACTGTTCCACAACACCTTTTTTCTAATACCATACTCTTCTTCAACCTGTAAAAGAAATACTAGGCCTGCATGAGTAATAGGTTTACAAAGGAGTTTCGATATGGTACTTCTGGGCAGAAATTTTTTAAAATGAAAGCAGACCATTCAGATAACTCTAAAATGATTTCTCCTATGTG